CAGGCGGTAACTCTGCCAGAATATAAAGAAGGTCATGCACTTCGTGTGACAGTGATTCGAGAATCCAATTAAAAAGTTTAGTATAGACGCAGTCGTTCCTACTTAATCCGATCACAGTTTAATGCAATCCTCTGCTTATTGCAGTCAGCGCCTTTGGAGCTAAATCAATTGTATGTCTCTGTTTCCACGTTTTCCTCTGTAATTTGATCACCTTCAGCTGTTTTGTTTTTTTTTAAATAGCTCAATTGGGAAATCTGGCAACATCTTTTAAGTATTGCCCATAACATAAAGCCAGCAAAGACACTTCACAATGGCCAGCTTCAAAACTGACATGACAGAAGCAAAAAGTTACTTGTCTAAAATGGAAGCGCAATAGGATATGGCAGAGTTGAAGAGGAAAGGTTCTTGTGAAGAATCTTGACTCAACATGAGCTGATCAAATACTGCTGATTGCTTCTCTGTGCAATCATTCCAACTCACTTGAAGGTTGTAAATATAGTAGTGCTGCTGTTGACATCATGGACACCAGTCTCCCGGTCAAAATGATAGAAATTATATTAATGCATTTCTCTGAAGCTAAAAGTACTCTTCGTGATGAAGATAACTCTTATTTGCTTTGCAAGGGTATCACACTGAGGTTCCCATATGGCACTTACCTCATGGGTGGTCATGGCATATTGCTGAAGGGAAGGCCGAGAAGGCCAATAATGCAAAAATGGCCCCTTTTATTCTATTGGAATTTGAGTAATTCCAAATATGTACATGACTATTACAAAGTTTAGAGTAGACTCAGATGGTTAATTCTGCAAATTGAATGATTTCTGACTGTCCATAATGGAATAAGAGGATTACTTTGGTCTGTGCAAATACGAGTGAGATTGACAAGCTGCAAGTCCTAGTGACTGCAAATTACCCATTTCACATTGCTTTCGGAGCCGAGGTACCTGATGTCTGCAGCTCTAGTAGAGGTCACTCAAGGGAGAAGAAAAAATGTAAATTGATATCAATAACCATTTTGAAAAATATGCCAAGAGGCATATGCCACAGTTCCTCTTTTGATATGCCGATTGTATCTGGGAGAACAGCATGAGCTGCCCTAGTGAGCGGAGACTGTGGAGTCCTGAACATGGTCTAGGTGGTACTTTTCAGGAAAGCTTTAGAAGTAGAGTAGGGCTGTGTCCTGTCCCTCCTTTATTAAAGTCAGCTAAGTCAAATTCCTCCCTATACTCATTGCAGAGTCCAAGGGCTGTGCACCCAAGTATTTTATTTTGTCCCGCTCCACAGGGGAACATTGAACAGCTTTACTAGGCATATACCTAACTTTGAGGATGTGTGTGGTGTGTGTGTGTGTGTGTGTGTGTCTGTGTGTGTGAGAGATACCAGAATATGCCTCACTGAGGAGAAGGGAGGGAGTGTCTGAGTTTGGAGGAGGGAAATGGAACCCATAATGTGATTCCCATCAGCATCTAGACCTTTAATCCATACAAATGAAATGCTCCAATTTAATAGAATTCTAAAAGTAAAACAAATGCTTTGTTCTTAGTGAATCTGTCATTCAGAGCTGCTCTTGGCAGCACATCAACTGTACTTGAAATGTCTTTAAGTGGGTATTTTTTTATTGTGCTTTTCGTCTTAACACATCTTTGAGTTGGTAGAGGAATAGGAAGGCTGAACTCCTTTCAGCATGTCAGGTCTGTGCAGCTCTGAAGTCCCCATTTGCTTACTTAGCCATGAAGAGCTTACCTTATTTAGTAAGTATTTTGGCCATAGTGCAATAGTTTACAGACTAAGAAGCAACAGAGCAAATTAATATGAGTTAGCGGTAGAGAGGAAAGAAATACACCATAAGGAGGTGTTTGTAATAAAATGTATCACAATCGCTACCAAAGTGGAACTATTGTTTTGGGGAAATCAGGTGCCAGAAAAGCACCACAAAGTGTGGAAGTGAAGAAATAATACTTAGTATTTATTGAGCATTTACTATGTTCTAGGCACTGTGCTATGAGTTTTTCGTATAATACTTTTCTAAACCTTAGCACATCCATCTCTATGAGCTATAAAGAGGAAATTGAGGTCTAGATGGGTTGTTACACAGTAAGTGGCTCAAACCATGGTCTATCTGACCTCATGATCTTTTGCTGTTTTGGTGGATTCTTTGTGGTCTTTTTAGATGTGCACCAAAATATTAAATTTTTTTTACCGAAAGTATTTGCATAACTATTCTTATAGTTCTTAACATTTTCATGTGACTGTGCAGAATTTCAAATCGTTTATTGGTTTTGAATTTTTATTTAAGCCTATTCAGAGTATTTCTATCATTGGAAACTATGCAAAAACTTTGGAAAGACTTCTTCAGTAGTTGAGATACATATTTTGGGGGTCTGATGGTGTACATGAGAGAAATGAATCCTTGTTTACTGTCTATTTATCACCATGAAGTCTCTGTGCTGAAATGTTGCATTAAGAGTGTGTTTTAAAAATTATGTGGCCATATGTTCAGGGGTGCAGGGTTTTTGTTTTCAGTCTAGGTCCTGTTGGGAAGGGACTGAATGGATATACTAGTACCCATTTGACACAGGAGATACCCAAGCAAGGGAGCTCTACCTCCTGTCAGAGCCCATCTTGCTCACTGTCACATGCATGTGATCTCAGGGCAGGTGGTTCATGGGACTCACCGCCCAGGAGGGTCTTTTCCAACAGAGACATACTGTTGGGCTGCTGGTTATTAATAGTCACTGAGGACAACAGTCCTTTCTGAGTTGCGTCTTTATCTTCTTCCTCTTCCAAATGTGTGAAATATTATGCAGTTGCCATTGGAACATACTAGAATGTCTCTTGACTCTTGCCCTCTAGGAACTTAGAACCCCTAGGAAAGATTAGACATTATCACTTGAAAAATAAGATTGGAGATAGTTTCTGGTCCCCGCCCTACTTCCCTCAGGAACTGGCCCTGGTGTCTTCTTCATGAGCACAGCAACTTAGTCCTTCTGTTTATTGATGTGTCCCCAGGGCCTCCACAGAGTCACTCACTCAGTAAACATGTGTTGAAGGAATGAATGGGGTTAGCAGTTGGGAAGGGCTTCAGAGGCAAGTAGGATTTAAGACAGTTCTTCATTAGAGGAGTTCTATAGGAATGTGTTGGAGGAGGAAGAGAGGAAAGTATGAGGTTAGTTTGGGGAGAACTATTTTGGGTAAAGTGAGGGGCTGATGAAGGAAAATTTTCAGATACTGTCAGAAAAATAGGTGGGAACCACATTTTGGAGGGCATTGAATTTCTGATCTGAGAGTGCAATGACTCTGTGTTGTGTGTTTTCCTTGGGAGATGATTAGAGTAGTAAAGCAGACCAGTCATATGATTCAACTTCCCAAGCCCAGAAGACAAATTGCATGCCCACCTTCTAAATTTTTGTTGCTAACATAGGATAATTTTTTTTAACTTGCACTGAGTAGATACACTATTTGATATAAAGTCATTGTAACTTGCTGACATATACCAGCACACTGTAGTTTGTGGCAGTGATATTATTGAACCTGTTTTAGCTGATTTCTATCCCTTGTCACTTGAGGGACTCCTTGCCTGAATTATCCTTTTGCCTTTGCCTGATCTCTCTGTAGAAGAACAAATAGGGAAAAGGAAGAGAAGATAAATGAATCTTTGCTGATCCCTGGAAATCTACCAATCACTTTAACATATCTAACTTTATTAGTTTATTACATTTAATATACCTATCTTAATCCAAAGAGTATTTCGGAAAAATGCATGTACATTTTTTAGAAAGGTGAACCCATTAGAAAAAAAGGAAAAATAAAATTAGAAAAATGAAAGAAGCCAGTGAGGTTTGTTGCACAAAATGCCTGCCCCGAGGACTTGTCCACTTGTTAGAGGTGGTTACAAATCAGATTTGGGGCTCAGGGCTTTTTGACTTCCAGGGCAACGGGGGAAATATGATGGGTTATATGATTCACGGTGTCTGTGAGAGAAAAAGAAATCAATTACCCAGGAACAGCCCAACTAGTTCTAGAACCTGAAAGGAAATTCTCCCACGAGTCCTCATAAAGAAGGCTATGAAACATTTTATTTTGGCTGCCAGTGGGAAAGGTTGATATCCTCTTATGAAAACTGAGGAGTCAGTCAAGATTCTCTGCTGCCTGGAGCGGGCTGAGGTGATAGCTGTCATCTTCAGTCACTAAATACCTCATACCACATACCTTTGTAAAGAACTCTCCAAGACATACTCTTTATCCTCTTCACATCACAGTCTGCAGTGATTATGTTTAATTAATATTTGTTCACTGTTTCTTCTTGGAAATAGATTGTAATCTCCGGAAGGGCAGGGACTCTAGGCATCTTACTCATTCTTTCGTTTCCAGATAACACAAAACCTGGTATGTACTAGGAGCTTAATAGGTATTTATTGAAGATGAAGTGGAAATAACTGATGGTAAAATGTACCCTAATGTAACTGAATCAGTTAGCCTATTAAAAGGGATTTTTAATTACTTAGTAGCCTAGTTTCACTGGTTTGCTAGCTATAAAAATATTAGGAATGTTTGCCACAATGACTGATCTTGGAACAGCTGACCTTCTTCTTGCCAATAATCCGATAGCATCAGATGGTCAGTTGTCTGTTGAATTCACCCTAGACAGAAAATCCTTTAGAGTCGATTTTATAATCTATACCTCACCAATGAGGACACAAAAGCTCAGAGAAGTTGAATTATGGATTTATTTTCTACTTATAAAAATAATCAAAAATGTGTTTTAAAATCAAAACATTTTCATGAGCATATCATAATTTGGCTGTATACAGCTACCTCTGTATACATTAGTTAAATGTTAGGCATTTCTAAAATAATCAAGGTGTTCGTGGCGACCAGTTATATGGCTAACTTTTGCTTGCTTCCTTTTCAAATATGGATTACTGCCTTTCCTGGTGAGAGAACACATGTAGCCATTTCCTGTGGTGGCAGATTAAGGGCTGTGTCCTCTCACCCTACAGGGACACGGAACACAAAGGGTTGCAGCTCTCCCTGGATCAGATCTCAGTCTCTAAACCAGCCTTCTCCTACACCAGCAGCTCCACTCCTACCATGACTGACAACAGGAAGGGGGCCAAGTCCAGGCTTTCCAGCTCAAAGTCAAAATCCAGAACATCCCCGTATCCTCAGGTAGGTGCACTGCCATTTTGCAACTTTCTTGTGTGTGTGTGTGTGTGTGTGAGAGAGAGAGAGAGAGAGAGAGACTTGGTTTGGACTCAAAGTTGAGGAAATATTAAAACAGTTTGAAATTCATTATCTGGTTGTAATAAATTTAAAACTTCTATGTATCTGGAAAGCTTTCTAAAACTATCTTCATCCTGCTCCTCTCCTTTTAAAATAACTATGCTAGTAAAAATTTGAAATGATCTTGTGGTTTGCTGCTTTTATACGAAGATGGTGAGAGTCTCAGTTGCAGTTGGAGCCGTAACTTTGTTTTTTCAAAGAAATTGATCCTGACCAAAAAGATGTAGCCAGCATAGCAAAATATGGAAAACAAGAGCTTAACATAGTAAAACTGATTCTTAGGACAGGAACTGAAGTAGAAGGAAATGAAGAGGCAGAGGCAAAGAATCAAGGATGCATCTCGTCATGAGATTTGTGCACAGGAGGACTATCTGGGGAAGGAGGGAAATAGAATCTACCAGATGGGAGGAATGATAGGAAAAGCAACTCTCTTCTCATCTTTACAAGGTGGTGAGCTGATGAGACCCAGAGGAGATATTCCAGAAATACTGCAAGGCACAAGGATGAGTCTGTATTCTAGGAAGGAAAAAATTATTTTTCTGATCAGTCACTGAGATACAGAAACTAGACTGTGCCAAGATATGTGCACAGCTCTCTCCTGGCCTGAAAGAAGTAGGACAGAACTGGGGATTCTCTACTCCTAGGATCTTGGGACCATCTTACCTCTATCCTTTTGCTTATAGCACCACATCACTAGAGTAACCCAGGAGATGATTCCTAGGCTTATATAAAGCCAGACTGGATTTGGAGTTATTTTGTCTAAGTGGTCTTTATCATTTATGTTTTAAATATATTTTTTAGAGTAAAACTGGCCATCTACTAGTTACAGAAACTGTTATTTCCTTACTTCTCAGAGCTATATTACTCTGTTGATTTCTACAAATGTATATACTGTTTGAAGAAATGTCATTTATTGAACCAATGCTTACTAAGAAGCTACTATTTGCTAGATTATTTTAGCAGCTTGGTATCTAAAGATGAGAAGATCATGGCCCCCATAAGAGACTTATGTCACACAATTTAAAATCTCCCACAGAAGGCTAGATCTCTTTACTCTGACAAAAGAGAGGGAGTTGATACGTGATGTCTAGACAGTTTTCAGTGTCCACCCTCTGTTATGAGGACTGAACACTTTACTTAAAAAGTACATTTTAGTTAAAGTCACTGTGGAAGAGGAGTTGCTTCTTTTTATTGAACATCTGAGAAGCTTTTCTTATTATAATCTTGTACCTTGGGAAAAAAATTTTACTCTCTCTTTTTATTACTTGGAAGGGTCAATTATGCCTTCAGGTAATTTTATCCTTAAATATACAGGAATGTTTAACACATAGATGAAAGAAGAATTTAAATTAGGAAATACTAAGTTAAGAAGGAATTTATCTGTTGTTATGCAGAAATTAAGCCACAAAATATCTCCCCACTGGACTTCTAAAAACTCACTAATTCTGTATTCTTTCATGCATAGCTCTAACATCTAAAATTTCTGTTAGTTTGCTCTAATGGTAGACTACTCATTTTTTAAAAATATTTATTTATTTATTTGAGAGAGAGAGAGCATGCATGAGTGGGGGGAAAGCAGAGGGAGAATCTTAAGAAGGCTCCATGGCCAGCATGGAGCCCAATGTGGGGCTCGATCTAATGACCCTGAGATCATGACTTGAGCTGAAATCACAAATTGGACATTTAACCGACTGAACCACCCAGGCGGCCGTAGATGACTCATTTTTTAAAAAATGTTGTAACTGTCATTAGACTGCTCTTTGTGCATGTGGTCATACACAAAGGAGGAGGAGTTAATTTGAAAGTTATACATGTTCCCTAGTTTATTTTATTTTTTAAAAGATTTTATTTATTTGAGAGACAGAGAGGGAGGGAGGGAGGGAGAGCACGTGCAGGAGCAGAGGCGAGAGGCAGAGGGAGAGGGACAAGCAGGCTCCCCACTGAGCAGGGAGCCCAAGGAGGGGCTCAATCCCAGGACCCTGGGATCATGACCTGAGCTGAAGGCAGATGCTTAACCAACTGAGCCACTCAGGCACCCCACATGTTCCCTAGTTTAAAAAAAATACAGAAGATTGTCTACCTTGGACTGGCTGTTTCTGCCTTTGGTAACTCCTATATATAAATTCTCCAACCTACCAATGTTGACCCATAGGTAGGGACATCTCTATGCACCTATTTAGCAGGAAGAAGTTACAGAAGATAAGACCTTCCATCCTCAACAACTTTCATGATTTAAGGGTCAAAATTGTTCAGGGGGGCATGATGTGGAGAACAAAGGCAAGAAAAGAAATGTAGATAAAATTAAATTTCCTTATAACCTGCAGCCCATCGACAAGTACTTGAGGCTGGTAGAGTAGACATTCCTCTAGGAAACTCCCATCTTAATGTTAATGCTTTGCTAGAGGGAAAAACAACCTTCCTTGACAATAGCAAGGCCTCCAGGATCCCTCGCATCTTCTTTAGCATATGAAAGTTCTTTTGGAAACTTCCCTTTTTCTTTACCTTCCTCAACTCCAAAGTATATAATCAATTGCTCCGCACAACTCCAGTGCTGCCCTTTCTGCCCATGGGTCCTGTCCCCCGTGCTATAATAAAAACACCTTTTGCACCAGGAAAAAATTATAATACAGAAGAGTGGAAAGTAGAAAAAACACCTCTATTCCCTTATTTTCCCTCTCTAAAATTGTGCTTTCTTCTAGAAATATTCTAGGATGTATAAAAATCATGCACATGCAAACATGTATGTCCATATAAGATTTCTCTTGATGTTTGTGTGTTCATTTTTGTGCTTAGTACTTACATATATGTAGTCCTTAAAATTTTGGCTATATGTCTCATTTGAAATCACACAGTCATGAATTAAGTTTCCTTAATGTTTATGTGCCTAGTAAAGGTTATTCTTCAATTGTGTTTACTTTAGACAATCATGGTGCTAGGTCAATCATTGACTGACTTCCTACTATATGGGCTACTAATATGTAGAGATCAGAAATGGAACATACTGCCTTTGCTTTCAAGGAGCTACTCCTATAGACAGATGAGGGAACAGGCATTTATTGTGAATTGTCATGGGGTGAGCAGAAGGCCCTCTGGGGGCTGGCACATTGGCAAAGCATGAAATCCAGGGCAAACTCATCACTGTATCTTCTGGAAGAAAACAATTTGGTAGCATCATCTTGGATTCCAAATCCTTAGAAGTGTTAAAGAAAAAAAATTAGCTACTCAGAAGTCTCATTTGTTTCAAATTGTCCTTGTATTATGAAAGGATACTTAACCTTTAATTTTCATGCATCATTGCTATTATGTGTCTTTGACTCAGTAGATGCTAGCTGAGCACCTCCATTGGAAAGATGCTGGCCATTGTGGTGAATGAGGGTAGGGGTTGGGTGAAAGGTGCTAGAATATAAAAAAGTGGTATAAGAAATGTCCTTAAGTTTTACAGCACAGCTGAAATAATTTACACATTAGAATCAGTAGTGTATAGGAAAGAGATGGTGTACACAAAGGGCTTTATGAGTGGTGTCAGTTGCAGGGACTGTGGCTTGGATGACTGGAGGAGGCATTGTGCCTGACCTGGCTTTGAGAGTAGGATTCAGGCACACAGGCATAAGGGAAAGGAGAGGACACTTCAGGAAGACCAAGATTATGAAGAAATGCAGGGATGCATTGTTACTGGAACTGGAGTGAAGTGGGGGAGAGTTTGTCCCTGTGGATGAGGACTAGGGATGATATGTTGGGAAGCATTGACTGGTACCAAATATCTGCCAGGCCAAGGAATTTAGAGTTTGTTTTGTGAAGAGCCAGTAAAGGCTTTTGAACAGGGAATGAAAACATAAGGTGGTTGAAGCAAGGCAGACTCCTCATGTGAATAGTCCCGGCGTGCATCTGTGAAGGTCTGAACTAAAGTTCTCTATGGAAGTAAAAGGCCTTATAGAGGAAGAATGGATGAAATCCTTTTTGTCCTTGGCTGCTTGCACCAATTCTCCTTACAGAGTAATTTGATCACTTAAAGATTTATCTTGAAATTATACTTTTAAAGCTTATTTTTTGTAGTTAATGACAAACTCATACTGAATTTTCCTTCATAGGTTAATAGATCCATAATATATGCATTTTTGGTTCCTAAATGATCAAGCTTTTGCATTTAATTTTAAATACTTCTGCCCCTTTTCTCAAAAATAAAAAGAAAATCTTGTCTGTTATTTCCATGGTTACATGCTTTTAGCGTGCAAATTCTTCTCATTAGAATTTTCAAGAGGCAGTTTCCAGAGCAAAGCTGAACTCACAGGGTACTGTCTTGCTCCTCTTATTAGTTATGTAAATGGAGATTTAATGATTCTATCAATGTTATTTATTAGGCTCCTTGCTCTATGATGTGTTGGGCATATCTAGAAATTTCTCAAAGATGTCTGCTGAATGGCAAATAGTAACGCTGCTTTTTGGAATTATTTAGGCACCCTTCTTTGAACATGTGAGACATGCACAAATTGTAATTTGCTGTCACACCCAGTTTGCAGTAATAGATGAACCTTCAGGTCCCCTCCTGATATGAGATGCTCTTGGGAATGATTTTAGACTTGATTATATTATAGCCACTTAATGAATGACTCAATCACCTTTGTACCTCTATGTATTACTCAGGACAAGAAAGGTCAAAACAGAATTGTTTTTGAATGGTTTTGGAAAAATTCTCATAGGCACTATTATAGTTGATTTCCAAAGACTCTGCACAGAGCTACTGTGCTTTTCTGTACAGTGGCAAAACTGTTAAGGCCTGGGGATACATTATGACAGTTGTATTTTATTGTTATTGGGTTTATAGTCATGAAAATAGCAACTTGTTTTCATAGTTCTGTTGAATCAGAAATGTTGAATTTGTAGAATTT